TGCCAGGGAGGCTTCGATGGCTTACACGTCTTCCATTGTTATGAAAGGGAGGGGCATGCCAGTTGGGGCTTGCGGAATGTCCTGCCTTACGGCATCCCAATTGAATTATGCACAGTACCCATTGGGTTCAAGGTGCGGAGGACGAAATGCAAAAGATCTTAAAACAATGGAACGGATTGTCAAACACGTTATAAGGTTACCCTTCAAAGGTTTAACAGCCTTTCGAATTTCTGTGGCGCCAGTTTTCTGCGCACGGAGGCATCTGGGGCAGTAATCTCCATTCCAGTGCGAGATGCGAAATACTTACTTTCCGATTCGTCTGTTTTTGATTCCGCTTGAGGTATGGATTGGTATAAAGCTGATCGGAGTACCTAAAGCATAATCACAGCCTACCTGTTTCCCGTGGGATAGCAAGACTTGAGATGGGAGAAAGGTTAGGGTAGGTAACTACGGAATCATGGGAGAATGAATACGTGCATGTTTTACCCCTTGTTCCCTAAATTGACACTGTACTTGATTCCGCTGCGTTGGAGATCAGCGTTGCTGTGGTCGAACTAATAGAAGATTGACGGGCGCAGGCTTCGCTAAGGAGCAGCGAGCGGCCTTCAAATTTTCCTTCTCGAAAGGCTTCCTTCATCTTCCGGAGTCAGTCGTTTTAGATGGCGACTGGGCAACCTTATGACCAGGTTGACTGGAAACTTACGCGAAACGCTTGGGAGGAGTTCCTATTAAAATGGTATCAGCCAAGTCCTCGGCCTCCGTTTGAATTCCGAGTGCTCGTTCTAGAATTCAAGCGTAATCAAAGTCGTCTGCGCGTTGCATGCATCAAGAAACCATACCGATAGTTCGGACAATGCTGACTCTTCGTTTCCTGTCCGTCAAACTAGGATGCCTATAAACCTGCACAGAGTCGTGGTACTGGTAATGTGACACACTTGGAAGAAGTGCGGTCACGCCATCCGCTTCCAACCAAGTACTGCTGATAATGTTCACCTCAATGACACCGTTGTGTCTAAGGCGAACCTCGTGATATTACGGTCTTGGCCTGACACCTAAAATGCAGGCTGCCGTCAAAGAAAACAGATAAATGTGGGAAAATATACCAGTGAACGAACTACCTATTGCACGAGCCTAACGGGCGCTTAATGATTAGCTAAACGTTAGATCACAGTCCTACGGCACACAGGTAGCTCATTCCTGCAGCCATACAGCACATAATGTACAATACGATGTTTCATAAGGCACGCCACAGTGGGTGTTCGTGAGCAAGTATGCAAAGGTATACAAACATGACCTCAGTTGTCCACGGAAGTGTGTAACAGAAAGACAATTAGAGTGCGGCCGAGGCACTAAAATTAGGCAATTACATGTTATGTCCGCGATGGCATATGTGAGCAGGTCCGACTCCACTCCTTCTGCACGGAATATACCCACATCACTGGACCGAAGTTTATGAAGGTAGAGGTCCGTTGTTCCGACAAATGCCTGACGTATTATAAGTCCTGTGTTCCCCGCCCCTCTACGTATGCTGCGTATGACAAATGGCTTACCGGAAACATTGATCACGTTGTCCGGAGACATAGAGGTATAGAACACTCCGTTGATGGAAAAAGTAAGTTGCCGTTCAATAGACAAGAAACATACACCGTCAACACATTGGTCCGGTGCAGGATGGCATAATGACAAGTTTATGCACTTCATACAACGTCGTGTTAATTGTGCAACTGGATTCACGGCGTTGCGCAACATTCTTTTTAGCAAATAGATATGCGACTCAACCGGAAAAGCAGAGAAATTGTCCAAATATCCGTGGCTGCGAACATCCTGCGCTAAATGCGTCAGCGTGTGGATATTAAAAGTCATTGCATCCGCGCCACACAAGTAGTACTAGCTCTCAAGGAAAACTTGCAATGCTGACTTTGCGAAGTCAGATTGAGTGCGGTGCAGCTTCTGGTGACCAGGTAAATAGATGCCCATGTGTAGATGGATGAAGTTCTTGTAGTAGGCACCGGGCAATACATTCAGTAGTACTGCGCGTCAAGAGAGCTATAAAAATCGGCTAAATTCAGTAGCCTTGGAGTACTGAAACCACCGAACGCCTCTGCAACCTCTGGTGAAGTCACCTGGCCGGCGGGATTGATTAGGATCCATCAATTCCGGCAACTGCTAGATATACTCTGAGTAAGGCGGCACTTCATGGCAGGGGACGATCTCCACCATGACAGCCTCCAACGCATTACACCGAGGCATACTGCGTGTATATAGTCAGTTGGAAACGTGCTTATCATATCTATAGGTAAGCATTCGAAAGGTGATGGCTCGTTGTGGCTAGCACGCGGAAACGTTGCGTTCATACGAAGCCGGCAATTAGTCCGTGGAAATGTGACCCGATGGTTTACATACTCACCACGTTGACAGCACTTGTCACAGTTGCTGTATCCGGAGTGTTCTTCGATTCGCTACACGGATGCTCGTGCAGGAGCATCGCATATTACACCGGATACGTATACTTTTGTTGCAAATGAGCCACCGGTAATTTCACCGTGACCTCACGCAGTACGATGAGCCCTTTCCTTAAGGGAGTCAAATATTGACGCACTTCCAAGGGTTTAACTGGACCGTGGTATACCCCCACGGCAAAGGGGGTTGAAACGAACGGTGAAATGGCTCTACACAGAACTGGCCACACCTGCATTCGAGACGCACTGAAGGAGAGCACCCGTCTATATGCAGTTGGATTTTAACCTCCTGTGGTGGGCTAACGTTCTGACACTGACATGCGGTCATCGAACCGTGGGGTACACCAAGGTGACTGTATGTCCCGGATTCCAAGCTGGTGCTTTCCGTTCCCCGTGGACTCTTCAGCAGAGTTCTATAGTCCTTCGGCAAGTCGGGGTGCTATAGCCGTAGAATAGATAGAAACCCATTACCAGCTGAGACAGCTATACGACAATTTATAATCCACTACCGCAAATAATTGTGCAGTGTTCTGTCCTTCATCTCGGATACCCCGGAGACAACCACGTGGTCCAGGTGATGTTGCATCTCATACGCTGCGTACGCTGCGTACGTAAGGGTAGCGGGAATCTCACTTTCTGGAACGTTACTGCTACATGCCTCCCCTTCTGTGTTTTCAGCGATAGGTTCGCCATCCTGGGCAACCGCACTACTCTGGTCTAAACCTTTCCTTAGAAGTTGCATATAATAACCTGTTTCCGTCGGAGGCACTGTCACACCACTAGTGCCCATGTGTATGGTGTGCACTCCAATAAAGCCTGGTGTGTACACAGGCTGCAGCGAATCCGCCTCCTTACGCCATTGATAGAACGTTTCCCGGCTAGATATATAGTATGAGCACAGGCGATACTTCTCCTCATATCAAGCGCCTAATACTCTTGACGCAATATTACATGCTTTAAAATGGGTAACTTGCTTATGAAATACCAACAACGAAATCCCGGCAGTTTGACACCAAGTAGAGCGCAGTCAAAGCGACGGCAATCAACAGCGCGCTTAAAATGGCAATGGCCGACAGCTATGCATTATAACAACTGAAAGATAGTAATTCACCTACCAGTATTCCCGTTGCTAACCATTTACGTAAGTCGCATTACTTTGACAAAAAGCGCGGCGATGTTTTTTAGCAATAATTTCTTCCATACGATTTTCTGTTGTGCTTCACAAATTGGTGGTTGAACCACGATTCCGCAAGGAATTAACACGATTTTTCGTGGCGCTGTGCTGGCTGGGTTTTCGCAATGAAACTCAATGGAACAGCCCGTCGCAGATCATTTCGGATTGACCGACAAAGGAAAGTTTCGAGCGGCTGCTTGACTGCCCTGTGGTGTAACTTGTTCCATTTTACTGTTAGGGCCAAATGGCCCCAAGACACGTTAACTGCTTGACTGGAAGGAACTACTGCATGTTTCCCAACTGGTGGACCTAAGGGACACGTTGTCTGCAAACTTAAGTCCAGTGGAAATAGAGGGAAGCAACTTGCAAGGGTTTCAGAATGTTGTGCATGCTCCGCAGAGAATCCGGGAAGATCACGGGCGCTATGTTGGTTAGGTTATTCTCACTCTTTTTCAGGCCACACCTGGTATACAGCATCCATTCTTGTCCACCTTGCTAAGTCATCAACGGGATGTAAGTGGAGAAATTGTTGAGAGTATGGACCAAAATGGTTCATGGACAACGGACCGTGCCTCACCCAGAAGGACTACTTGAGCTGGGAATGTTCTCAATGCATCCTCATGGACATCGACGCGAACTGGTATTGACCCATCGCACACTTATCGATAAAATCGGACCCAAATTATCTTGCCTTGTCCGAACTACTAGGCTCCCATCTCCAAGGTCATTTGATGCAGCTACACAAAACTCGATCGGATGAAGTCCGGGTGGACATACTTTTATCACACCGAGTGGTGGATTTCTGGAATACACTGCCCGAGAAAGTGCTCTTGGTACCAACAGTGAAAACGTTCGAATACCGATTCGAAGCCCATGACATACGGTTCTTAGCTTTCCCCTCCACAGCTTAGCTTATGAGTCTTATGGCATTAATAAAGCTCTTTATGTTCGGTTCTTAACGCTCTCATTACTTAGGCACATCTGTTTCGTATTGCACGCAATCGGTGTGGCGGGGCTGCCAATGCAGCTGTCATGGGTAGTAATTGGTTGACCTTGGTACGATTCGCGCGGGCTGGTCTGACTCTTCTACATTCCAGGCATCGCGAATGAATATACGTAGGATCAACGACGCGCCTCGAACGGAACTTTCACGGGATTTTATCCTGCTGTTCCAGTCCCACTTGAACTTGAGTACGACAGGGTTCTGCTGCCCATGCTGAAACTGCGACGATCCCCAGAAGAATGCTGCTTCGCAGACAGTTGCGCTAAATCTACACTGAATCGAAATCGAAGGAGCTGACAAGGTTCTCCTATCCTGCTCTCTACACATCAACTAACTTTGTCCTCCTCGGATCTTGACCCGACCTTGACCTGGTTTGTAATGGATGTACCCAGCTTTTGCATCCAATTTGACCCTGACTGAGGTGTGAGTATTCGGATCCTAACTCGATCTGGTTTTCTTTCTTGGTGTGATGGCTGCGCACCTCAGCGAGTACACTTACGAAAATCTTCTGCATATCACGGCTAAATATAACCGGCGCATACAAGCGGATAAAATGTCTAGACTACCGTTTTTAGACAACGCTACTGGTATCGCCCAACGACCGTGCTTTCTTTATCGTAAGAGCGAAGAACGTATTGCTGGTGCGTGAGTCGATTGTATTAACTATTCTGATAGGGTTTCTATCAAAGGTTTATCAGTATCCATCTTTAAAATGGAAAAAGTGTCTACCTCGTAGTCACCAAATTCTTGTGAGTGTAGATGACGCTTCCAATGTTCCCAAGAGTAACCGCCCCTTGAGTATCATAATATTTGTTCAGACTTGACAGCCTATGTTTCGGATGCCAACTCAAAGGGCTTTACAGATGATAGTCATATTACTTGGGTCGCAGGACCGGAGTGCGATATTGAGTCCGATAGCAGCGAAGCGATTGACGACATTCGCGGTGCTCGACGCAGAAGAAAGAAAAACAAAGCAAGTTTCTTGCCCTGAACCTTTGGTTTGTGCACCTGTTTTTTGCTTCCTTATTTGTGGATACCACACCGCAGTCTCGTTGATGAATCCAACTTCTGCGCATTCGGAATTTCCGCTAGATTGAATCGACGCACAACTGGTTTTAACCATCACAGAATGACCATCGGAAGTGATCAGTCGGTTTCCTTTATTCGTGCCTTTAATAGCTACGGCACAGGGCGTTGCTGAAAAATTCGTTGATGGAAGATGGGCATCCTCAAGCGGATATACAAAGGTGGGACTCGGCAAGACCCAGCTCGCTACCAGCCCATTTGTTTTACATCAGTAGTGTGCAAAATCATGTAACGCGTCCTGAAACGGAAACTTCCTCTTCATCTCGACAGGTTAGATCTTAGTTCTGTGTCCAGCACGGTTTTCCCATAGGTTGCTCCTGCACTACCAACTTGCTTGTGACTTGAGAGAAATGGACAAATTCATTGGATATTGGAAAACGCGTTGATGATGTGTTTGTGTATTTCATTAAGGCTTTTGATGAGGTCGCCCATGAACAGCTTCTCCAAACTCCGAGGAATTGGCGTTGCTGGGGCCTTTCCTCCGTGGATTTCCGATGTTCTGTACAGTCGCTCCATGCTGGTGAAAGAGAACAAAACGTTTTACGCTCTCATACCTATGATCAGCAGTGCCCTCCGGAACTCCGTCCTCGGCCCCGAGCTCTTCAACATATTCATTAACGATCTGCCGTCTGAGCTTCAATCGAATTGCTTGATTTATGCGGATGATCTGAAGATCTGGAAAGCTGTATCCTTTCTAGAGGATGCTGATGGATTACAAGAGACGCTCGATCTGCATACTTGGTCAATTTAGTGGCGTTTACCCATTAATAAAGATAACTGTTCCGTCCTGCCTATTGGCGCTCCTGGACCATTCGGCGCCGACCACTGGTGGTTTCTGCTCAAGAATGTCACTTCAGAAAGAACATGGCGTAATTGTGTTCCCAGGCTTAAGATCCACTCAAGACACTATAAAAGGGTTGTCGCTGCCTACAGGATGTTTCACGCTATCCGACGAGCTTCATTCGCTTAACGCCGGAACTCTAGATTCCTATTCACCTCGCATTTACGCCCGATTCTAGTATACGGCCCTCCTGCTGCCTACCAACTTACCAAATTTGAGCGTAACATGATTGATAAGGACCAACGGCGTGGATCGAAGTTCGTGTCTGCGATACGTTACCTGCCCTATCCCCTTTGGCTTCGACATTTGAATTTTCTATGCATTACCGTCACCGCCGCGGGGATTTGACTTTTACCCGACGTATCCTCAGGTGATAGCTGGGGAGTAAATTGCAGGAATTCTTTCACCTCAACATTGGAAAATATTCAAACAAAAGAGGCTCAATGTGCGTTCCATTCTTGCTTTATCCACTCACGTGAATGACGAACCGGTTACCGGGGCCCTCGTTGATGAGCAGATGGAGGATTGTTTCAAACAGCTACCTGATTCCTACCTGTTGAGTATGCCGGGATCGTGTTGCTTCAGCTACGAATGCGACGGCCTCCGGAGTTTCCGTTGCGCAATGACCCGAGCATCCTAGCAATGATCGGGAGGCGATGGACCTGACAAGGGATCTCCCTCCTGCTCTCTACTACCCAATGAACCAATCACTGTGGTCTACCACAGACTTACCCTAGAAGCTGGATGCAAGGCGTTCCTATGGCGCAATTGATAGACGAACGGTATAATCGCACCACCAGCCACTCGTGTAGAAAAAGTTAAATGACAAACAACCAGACGTGATATACATTTATTGCCGAAACGTACAAGCTCGATAGGCGGACGATCACCTAAGGAAAGGCTAGTTAGGGAGAGGAAAGAAAGAAGGTTCCGGGAGCGCCCAAGGCAGCGTTCGGATAGCCGACTTGCGACAAAGTGCCTAGTTTTTCTAGGCATAAAATAAAATCATACTTTGGCAGTACTTACCCATCATACGAGGAAATCTTAAGGTCACTGCACTGCCTTTCCTCCTAGAAGAGAAACCATGGGTGACCGTTCGAGATATGTGCAGACTGTCCGTTGTCGGCCAAACTTCTACGGATTACGTGGTGACTCCCGACGCAGCTGCTAGAGGTGCACCATTGCGACCATAACATAACGGGTCGCGTCCGTGTCCTCCCTACGGGTGCCAAAAAGTGAAACGTAATGTTCGATTATACAGCATCTAGCCACGTAATGTCTGATGATATTCAGGAGCTCGAGGGTCAGGGATATGAAAAGTAAGTAAAAAAAAGAGGCGTCAAGCATGCACAGTTGGCCAGAGCAAACGAACAACGACAACACATCAAGTGCGATAAGATAATAAAACGCACTCTTGTGCTTTAAAAAGTTTTGTCCCTTTTGGATTTTAAAAACGTTTTACTTCTTTTGTGTATTGGTCTAGTAGGGAAACGACCAATAAGCAATTGACTGTGTCGCAATACATGAGTAGCAGAACAAAAGGGAGAAGAAGACGGTCAGAAAACGTTAGCTGGGCTGTGTGGCGTGGGCAGTTAGCTTCCGGGTTGCCTAGGCCGAGGAAGAGGCTTGACTTAAGGGACCTTACCCTGAGCCTTTGGTCTTTTAGACCCGACCCGTAAGGCAGTAGAACGATTCACACATGTTGCTAAATACGAAGACCGTTGATATCCAGGTGACTCATTCGCCTTTGTGTTCGGTTAGTCCACACAGAATCCGGTAGACATCAAGGATGTTCGTCCGCCCTCCCTTAGTTACTTACCTCTGAGTACAGAGTTGAGTGGTCAGTGACCTTATGGCCGCTCACAGTAGCTTTGACAGCGTTGCACAAGCTCTTATGCTATTTGATGGAGACCGGACTTTAACGTGGTGCGCCGCTTTGCGTACCTCCTTGACCCGTATACTGGATGGTGTCTCCGGGCCCCTTGAGAGCTACTCCTATCAGGTTGGTCCGACAAACTCAGCCTCCTGGTCTTCCAGGTTTGGGATTTGAAAATGGATAGCATCCACTTTTGTAACACTTAATCATTGCCACCTCCTCACTGCCTTGTGCACAGGCTTTTGAGCCAAAGGCTTTGGTTGAGGGCCCTAATCGTCCTAAGTCTGGGCGCTCTGGCAATATCTCTGCGCACATGCAACCATGACAGTTTCCCCAAAATGTAACTATATTATGCATCGGCCATCGCGCAGATTATCAAGAGTCGCCTTATCTGCTGCATACAGCAGGGCGGATAGGCGGAAACATGCTACTGCTGGCGCATCCTTTCTCTTCCACCTGTTTCTCTTACTACCATCCCGACCAACATTACCAATCTTTCTTCTATAATTCCCAACTTAATTGTCAGCAACGGATTTGCCACTTGAGTAGAACCATCGGTAGCTACCTTCCCATGACACCCACCGGACGCCTATCAGCAACAATCCCTTATAAAGCCACGCGGCCCTGTTTCCCTGGCTGCGTTCGACGTTCGTATTCTAAGACATAGCTCAACAGGTTGCACTCGCACACACGTTGAACACACTGGGTAGTGACGTGTGTTGTGTGTCCGAAACTGGGGTCAATGACCATAATGGGATTGTTGAATTAACTCATTATCATCATTATACACGTTAGCTAGAGGTAGGAAACATCTCAGCTATTGTGCCGCAATACATAAAAGAAAAGGAAAATGCATACAACAATTGCAGGCCAACTGAGCTACCAGTAACGGATGGGCATCGTTCCGGTAAGCTACCAGCCGGCTACTAGTCAACAAGACAAACAATTGTGTAAAATTATATTACGCTATGAAATGAGATCGTGGTTGGAGGGAGAGGCTAAAAGTGATGGGTATGGACAAAGAAACCCACAGCAGGAACGGCACTGAGGTCGGCTCCTTGTCGTATCAGCAAATGTATCTAGTTACACGTGTTCATCGTCTTTTGGACCCCAACCAGGGAGCCGTGACGCTCCAACCGAGGCCAGCTCCGAAGTGAGGGCGCTCGGCTTGTCCTCTCGTTGGTGGATGGACGCATCCGGAGACACTGGTGCAAACTCACGGGCCGAGCTGGAGTAGGTAAAATTATCGGCTTCATGGCGGAGTCGTCGTTGTTTGTTTGGTTTCCGATAGCCACCTGTTTGTGTGCAGTCCGTTTGACATCAGCTAATGTTGATTCGCGAACTAGTATAAGACGCTGTTTGTTTATGGTTCCCGCTTGTGCTCCCACCGGCTGCAGTTCTGATGCTGTCAAAGACATTCTATCACAAACTGAACGCGCTACTACGCAGTGCTACTAGTTCAGATATCATAGTACTTGCGGGGGATGTGAACGCACAAGGAGGGTGCTTGAGTTCTTCTGAAGCTCAGCTAGGTGGTAATTATGGACTCACTTTCGAACGAATTGACAATGGCGAGTGTTTACTTCAACTGTGCGCGGAGCACCAATTGTTTCTTAGTAGCACTGCTTTTAGATAATGGGCGCCGAAGTGCTACTTGGCATCCTCTAGCTGGCCAGCGATGGACCCAGATTGATCACCTTACCATAAGTTACAGGTAGCGTAGTTCCATCCTGAATTGCTGTTTGTACTGGAGTACCTGCATCTGATCTCATCATGACTTGGTACGCTATCGTTTCTCCACCAGGCATCTCCTCCAATTGACAAATAAGTAATGGTCTCCGCTTCTGTCAGACAAGCTTAACAAGATGCCCTGCGTGCCGAACTTTTGCTGTCTTGTCCTAATGACACTGAGCTGCAGTGAAATAGGATCTCGGCTGCCATGCACGACGCAGGAGAATCTGCTTGTGATGATATCAGTCGTCACCGCACCCGTTACTGGATATCCGAGAGGTTGGTGAACCTGTTGGAATCCAGAAGAAACCTCCCTACTGGCTCTGAGCAAAGATGACCAGACGGACTATTAGGCGAGAACTAAAGCGGAGCCTGGGTGCTGACAAGGAATCCTGCTAGACCAGTCAAGCTCAAGAAATGGAGGAAGCAAGAGTAGCAG